TATCATAAAAAGAAAACAAGTTTATCTGACTAGGATGTGTAACATAAAGATTTGCTTCTCAAATTTCAGTATGCATAAGAATTTCCTGATGAGAATGTTAATTTCTGGTCCTCATCCTGGAGATTTATATTCAGGAGATCTTTGGAGGAGCCTTAGAATTGCATTTCTAACAAACTCAGTTTATGCTGATGCTACAAGACTATGGATCATATCTTTGAGTAGTACTGAATTAAAGTATGGCTGTTGAATTTAAGAGATTCTTGAAATCCAGGACCAGGACTTTAAATAAATGATATGGGAGATAATTTATGGCCCTGAGGAGGCATTTTGTTTTAATGAGAGGAGACCTAGCCTGAGTGAGCTTTTTGCTCCCTTGGGCAAATTACTTAAACTTTTTGAACTGAATATCTTTTATAAAACGGAAATAATAATACCTGTTCTTCATACCTTTCATAGTTGTCATGAAGGGTGTACAGAAATGAGGCACATGAAAGCTCTTTGGAAAACCTAAATCCCTGTACTAGTGAATATTAACTGAAAGTGTACACCAGAATCAACTTTTAAAAGTTTTTGTTCACACACGAAAATATACATAACACATAGTCTCCACTTCAGTTAGGTCTGAAAGGCTACTTATATTTGAAATAGTCATGTAGACAAAGTGGTGTTTGAATCTCTAACTATAAGGTAATGTAATGAAATAGAAGTTTCTTGAAAAGCCACTGTCTGCCGGGTATATGCCAATTAGTGTGGATCGAAGGAGACTCCCTGCCCTTAAGGAACTTTGTCTTATGGGGTGACTGGAACATGTAATTTAAAGATAATTTTAATACAGGGTGTTGATGATAATGACAGAGGCGTGTTCTTTGACTGCTGAATAATGTGAAAAGCAGGGGAACGGGAAACGCACTGAGAGTATTGGGAAGCTTATGGCTGTGTGCGTACAAAAAGTGTCCAAAAGATCACATGGAGTCTGATGTGTAGGTTTTTCCCTTCTGTAGATGAATCAGAGCTCCTCACTGTTCCTGATGGTTGGAAGGAACCAGCTTTTTCCAAAGAGGACAATCCCAGAGGACTGTTGGAGGAGAGCAGTTTTGCAACTTTGTTCCCTAAATACAGAGAGGCTTACTTGAAAGAGTGCTGGCCTTTGGTACAGAAAGCCTTGAATGAACATGTATGCATATTTTATGTATTTCCTTGAGATTTTGCTCTTGCTTGTATCTTTACTCGTAAGTAACTGAATGTGTGCTGATGGATTTTTTTAAAACGTGCTAGCATAGCTGCTTAATTTTGTTCCTTTAGCATTTTAAACAGACTGGGTAAGCTTTATCCTTACTGTTTATTGGTTTTTAATTTTGTGAGTAATAGATTATTTCAAAAAATTCACATACCTTTAAATTTTTAGGAGTTTCATAGACTTCCTGAAACTCAACTGTGAATTCCACATTTCAGAATGCCCACCTTGCTATAATAGTCCCCATGAACTTGCATAGTTTGAGCTGAGGCATGCTCCTGATATAATTGCTTAACTTTTCATTGTAAATGAAAGATGTGGATGTGGCCACCTTTCCAGTTTCTTGCTGCTGCCATGCCCCTAGAGTGGTTGTTTTTGTTTTATTTTTCAAACTGTGGATTGAGACCCCCTTCAAAAAGTCAATTTAGTGGATATAATGAGCCTTAAAAAAAATCAACGTGTTACATTTGGTAAGGATAAGTATCATTTTATGAAGCTTTCGGTTCATCTGTGTGCGTGTATGTGTTCTAGGCAGTGATGGAAAAAGTATTTCTCAGTTGTGGGACTGCCTTCGAGTCACGCATACCCACTGGGTGTGAGCGTGGCGCAGAGGTTGCCAGTTGTATTTTATAGCTGTTTCCCCCCGGGATTGGACTTCTTTTTTTTGTAAACTCAGTGACTCCCAACCTTA